ATAAAGATTTTTAGTAAATTAATTCATCCAATCATACTTGTGTATTATTACACTGACCTTTTTTTTCTTTAAAAGCATATTTCAAAATGAATAAAACAATAAAAAAATTCCAATTATTAAAAAATTCCCAAACTCTAAATTAATATTTGTCTGTTTTAACAGATTATTAAGTGTATATTAATAATAATGATGATAATCCAAAAAATTACCACAACTATGATTACAGCACCAACAACAATGATAATGAAAATGTTTATGATGGCAAAATTTATGATGGTAAAATGAAATAGTGAGTTTGATAACGAAATTGAAAAGTGAAGATGGCAATGAAAATTGTGATCAAGTAACAATGGATTTTTATACAGTTTCAAATTGTGTTAAATCTTTCAGGACTAGATTTTTACTTTACCAACACAATAAATCCATGGTGAAAAAAATTTCAAATGTGAATAACCAAGATGTAACAAAGCATTCTATTTTAATGGCAATTTATTACAACATACAAAACGTCATCTTGGAATAAAAAAATTCAAGTGTGATGAATATCCAGGATGTACAAGAGCCTTCCTCAAAAAAATCATTTACTAGTTGTCATCTTGGAATAAAAAACTTCATGTGTGAATATCCAAGATGTGTAAAAGTACACACAAGATTTCATCTTGGAATAAGTATAAATACCTGGGATGTGCAAAAACATTTTATCAAAAAACTGAATTACCAAATAACACAAAATGTCATCTTGGGATAAAAAATTTTAAATGTGAATATCCAAGATGTGCAAAAGCATTTTCTCAAAAAAAGTCATCATTTTGGAATGAAAAATGAATATCCAGGATGTGCAAAATTACTTTCTCAAAATAGTGATTTACAAGTACACACAAGATTCCATAGAATGTAACAAAACATTTTATCAAAAAATTAATTTACAAGTACACACAAGGTCTCATCTTGGAATAAATGTGATGTGTCTGGATTATACATGCAGCCCAAAGTATTTTGACACTGTCATAAAGGGTGTTACACATGTAGTAAAGGGGTGTTACACTTATGTTTTTAATAGTGAATGCCGTAATTAATTTCATCAAAATTGGAATAATTTTGACCATCAAAATCGCCAAACCAATTTGGGCTGCATGTATAGTCTGGATTAAGGCTCCAAAAAAATCAATGAAATTTGAGTATATATCATTCATTAGTTATATTTGAATTTATTAATGTATTACTTTTTTATTCGTCATTACATTATCATTATTGTTATAATGATGGTGGGCCGAAACTACCTTACTTGGTCCAAAATTAATTTGGGCGAAACTAATTTTAATGGCTGAAATTGGACGAAGTTTTTTAAAATAAGTATTGATTTGCAAGATTTTTATGCATTAATTAAAATCTGTTTATTTTATTTTTGCCATTATAATTGATAATTACAAGCATAATGGAAATCAAATAGTTAATCTTTGACAATGTGGTTCTGAATTTTTTGGATCTTGAAGACATTTTTTATAATAAATATATTGTTAGATTTTGTATATATTGAATATTTAAAGATTATATAATTATTATTATAAAAAAAATATATGCCATAATTATTTATGATATAAATTTGCATTTGCGATCTTAAATCTGTATAATTTCTATATATAAATTATTAAATTCAAAATTAATAGTCATGCAAACCTTTCTAAAGTTCTATTAAATTACAAGAAGCATCATCAGTTTTTAAATTAATAAAGTCTTGAGCTTGTAATCATTTCACTTCTTCACATTTTATCACATATATATGTGCTTGCAAAAATCATCTACTATATCTACAAATTTCTATTATATAGATTAAAATTTAGAAACTTAAACAATATAAAAACATTTAAATCTTTGTTTATCAAGCTATCTTAATTTAATTGCTAATTTGAACATTTCGGATTTTTTTTTTTGATCGAAAAAAAATATATTTATATTAACTAGAAAAGCTCTTAAAATTATTCCAAGTAATGAATGATACTTTACATTTTATAAATTCAATTCAATTTAAAATAGATTAAAACCGGTTTTTCAAATTCATTTCACATAATTAAATAGTAATTGTATGTGCAATAGGAAAAAACATGTAATTGTTACTTTGGCTATCTAGGTAACTCCAATACCTGTGGAGTTTTATTAGGAACAAAGCCTATAAAAAAAATATAATTGAAACAGTTAAGTCGAGGTTCATTAAAAACAAAGACTTTTTACATTGTAGTTTTCTACTTTATTTAAAGAAAGACTTTACATGTAGGTGTAAAACATTCATTGTTATCGATTGGAGCATTGACATCTTATTAATTATAAAGATATTTATTTACCCAATAATAATAATTGTTTCTAATTAATAGATATGTGTATGTGTATATATATATTCACTTTTATCGAAAATATTAAAACAAAAAATTTTTATATCATTTTAAAAAAAGTTAACCGATAAGTTTTATTGAGCTTAAAAATTTATCGGCTAGTTTTTTCTTAAACTAAAAATTGGACGAGCCTTAGCATTTTGAAAATTCCAAATTTAGAAATTGAGAAAATTTTTTTAGAATAAAAGTTCTACTATTACAAACATATTATCAGTGGCTGGCCGCGTAAAGGTGTTAAATTCTCATTTGATAATAATTATCGCTAATAAGTCAATCGGATTGATTTATTGAATCGAATAAACACAATTTGTTGTTGTTATTTGTAATTAATAGCGTTTAATGTGTTTATGTGTAAGGCATTTCCAATATTGATAGATCTTCATCACTATTATTAATTAACAAAAAAAGAGAAAACAAATTAGTTCTAAATTAGAGCGAAATATTGTTTTTAAACAAATTTGTTTGCTTACACCAAATTTACAGTTGTGAAACATTGCTCAAATATGATATTTTTATAATTGACGAAATAATTATTGATGAATGAGTATCTTGATAATGGACTTTAACGTTAGTAGACCATTGAATTTTTTGATTTACTATGCCAAGAATGACATAAATTTAATTTGATATTTCATCTCGTATAGTTAAATCCAATTGATTTGAACCTGCAAAATATCAATTGTATTAATTTATATGGTATTGAAGTTAAATCTTAAATTATTAAAATTTTGATTGAAATTAAATTAAATTAATAGTTACCATTATGACTAGCTTTCATGGTGTCATTTGTATTTGGATGAACAGTTTCTGTAATTGTTGATGGATCATTAGTACTTTATCCATTTCATCAAATATCTCTCTTTAATCTATCAAGCTCTCTTCTAGAATATCAATACACATTACCTGTTCAATATAAAATGCATTATTCCAATAATCAATAGTTTTTTCTACTTTTTTTGACAGATGGACGTTTATCTGGTAGATTAATACGCTAAGTCAATATAGAATTTTAAAATTGTTTGCCAAATAATTGTGAAGGCTTCCATCTGTTGTAAATGTATATTCTTTTGTAATTAGATCTTGTGTTGTGCCATGGGTATTAATCAAATTTAAAGTATTAAGAACATTGACGGAAATTTTTCAAACTAATATATATATATATATATATATTAAAATTTAGCAATAATAATAATGAAAATACTTGATAGAAAAATTTAAAATATATAATAGCATATTTTACCTCATTTAAAAATTCGTTTGAAAGATCTTATGAATGATTAATATCTTTATAACATCTTTTATTTTTTCATCATTTATCCAAGGAATCGATTGAAAATAAGATTGATTATCGTATTCTTTTGCTTTAAGCTGTGTGCTTTTAATCAATTCATCTAATCCTTCATAACCACTGGTTCAGCCTTGTGTTAATAACTGTGGGTCACATGTTTGACGGCCATGCTTCTAAAGTATTATATTTTTCACAAGTTTGACATCCACCATGCTCTTCTTTTATCTAAATATTTGAGTTGATAAAAAAATATTAGAATGTTTATCTCTTTCTCTCTATCAATATCTCTACCATTATCACTACTAATATTTATTATATCACTAAAATTTCCATCCCTGATATTAAAAACATTTTTAATGTGCTGCCTCTATAAATATCAATATCACTCACTACCTTTATTTTTTAAATTCGTCCATATTTTTTCCTTTATCTTTATCCGGGGATTTAAATTTATATTTAATAGTTTTAAATAAAAATTTGAAAAAAAAAAGTAAAAAGTTTATTTTTAAAATATTTGCAACTACAATAATATACTTTAGGGTCGTTTAATAGTTTAGGATGTTGAAAGAAATGCAAGGAAAAAGGGAAAGCATCAAGTGACAAACAAAACCGATTATGCTTGCTTGCTTTGCAGAATTTCCCAGTATTGGGGAAATTCCCAAAATGTATGTAATGATAATAATAATAATAAATTAGTTAATATCAATAGTGATGGTAATGGTAATGGTAATAGTAACCCCAGCGCCCAGTAACATTTAGAAATATTAATTATCCACCAGTACTGAATAGTGTTCTTATTTTGTACATAAAGTAGTACTCAAACACCCATTTAATCATTTTTTTGTTTTTTTGTTTTTTTTTAGAATTTTAGAATTTTAGAATTTTAGAATTATTTTTTTTTTTGGACCAACTGAATTTTGAGTAAAAGAATAGTGTACGGAATTGAAGTGTACAAAAACTCCACCAATTACAACTAACTCATATCAATTTGTGTAAATTATTTACTTGGAATCAGTGCTGTCACAAATATAAATGAAATTTCGGTATATTGAACTCACTATTCTCACTATTACTATTACTTAAAATAAATATACCTCATTGTGAAATATATTTCATTACAATCACTCGTACATTTCTAAATTTATATACAGTTGTTACTACCATCATCTACCAATCCAAATATGTCTTTTAAATCAGAAATCCATTAAAGATAGCTGCTATTATTATATATTCTTCCGCGGTTGCATCAATTCATCTATTGTCTCATCCATTCTTAGTTAATAATTATGGGTCACGTGGTTGACATCTGAATAGTATTTCTTGACTTAATACACGTAAAAAGTCACTTTAACACGATTATCTACACCGCCTCCTTTTAAAAGTATTTCTCCGCCATCATCGTTATCTCTTTCTCTTTTACTATCTCTATTACTATCAATATCTCTAATGCTAACATTGTCTTTATTTGTTTGAAAAACCTTTTGATTTTAATGTTAATATTTGGGTTATGCAAAAGAAGAAAAATTACCCGACAGATGATAAACGAAAAAAGGGTCTAATAGCAGTTTAATGATATATAGACAAAATTCATTCGTTAGAATTCACTTCTTTTGTTTTGATTAATCAATGAAACGGTGATATTTTCGTGAAAGAATCAACTTTCGATTTATTTATTTATTTCGAATCATAAAAATAAAAATTCTTAAAATTATTTATAAATTATATAGAATTTCTAATGAAATAATATATATATATACATGTATATATATATAACGAATGTACGAATATAATTATAAAACATTGCTCATATTAAATATTGAAAAAAAAAATAAATAGTATAATTAGTGCATTTGAAAAATATACATATATAAATTTCTACGTGTTAAAAAAAATTAATTGTAAAATAAAAAATACTATTTTACTTAATAATTATTAAGTTGTTGTTATTGAAGAAAAAAAAAAAAGTCGTTAACTGGATTATAATAACATGAAAGATAGGTTGTTTCGAGAGGAGATGGTGATGGTGGTGGTGGTGGTGACGATGACGATGATAGTGGTGGTGTTAATGTTAATAATTGTGATGATGGAATTTCATTTGTTAATAAACTATTATTGGTGGAAGGACAAATAAATTCACTGTTACTAATACTAATATTATTGTTATTACATAAATTTCCGGTTGCACAATCAGTATATGAATTTACGGAATAATTTATCACTTCTAAATTGGTATCAGAAATAAAATTTGGCTGGAATTCTGAATGATTGTTCGAATTATCATAATTAACATTAATAGTAACGTGGCTTTCTGAAATAGGGGTTATTTGGACGTCGATGGAATTATTTAAATTATTCGAGGGATTGATCACAGCTGGGCTACCACAATTAGGTTCCTCTAGTTTAATGGTATTTAATGTTGATTTGGAAGCGGCTCTCTCACTATCGTAATGTATCATATGTAAAGGTTGACCGCCTTTCTGTTTATATATTATTTCAGCGTCTTGAGCTAATTTTTGATAAAATTTTTTAATTTGGTTATCCTCACTTTTCCAAAGTATTCCCGCTAACGATGAGACCTGGGAGACTGTTAATTTTTGATCCTTCAGCCTCGGTCCGTCCATTGTAATTTTTCGGTAAATAATAAAACCATTTGGAAATTTATGTGACTTTGGATTTACCGTGTTGACAACATCATTAGCTTTAATATTAGGTGGAAAATCAGGTCTAAATGATTCATATGATTGTTTCATCGAATCAAATTTCTTTGCTTTTATAATTTTAATTGCTGCCTTTTTATTCATAATTTTATTCATTAAAAAATATTATTATTGTTATTGTTATTACTAAAGGTCAGAAAAAAAAAAGTAAAAAAAAAATCATGAAATTTTTTTACAAATTTATATAAAAAAATTTTCCGACGTGTAACAAAACAAAACCTGAATTACATAATCGTTTTAAAACATTCTATTCACCCACTCAACCGCTTAATCTATTTTATTTTATTTACATTGCACTCCAAGTAGTACCAGTAGTGCCATGTCGCACCATAATCTTTCATATGTTACCTAAAAAGTGAAAACCTGGAAATTCCCTTTCATTTATTTAAATTCCTAAATAAAAATTCATTATTATTGACATCAAATAAATAAATAAATTACAATTGGAAGCATAATTTTTTTCTCGAAAAAAGAAATTAGAAATTTCCATTTTTATATTCTCACCATTCAGAGTTAATCTGCAATTTACAATTAAATGTAAATGTTCTTGGAGAAATCTCCTCATTCTTTCAAGAAAAACAATATGTTCTTATTTATTACTAGAATCTGAAAAAGGAAGACTTTATTGTATGGTGCGATATTCCTTGTTCTTGCAATTTCTATTGCTCTGTAGTCAATCAAATATAGACTATGCGGCTGTGTGCTTTAAAGCTAAATCACGCATTTAATTGTTTTAATTGGTGTATATTTTCTCTAAACTTCCAATTAAGATGAAATGAATGCTTACTTTTTTTATCTCGAAACTTCTTTACGATTGTTTTTTGTTTATTCATTATGCATTGATTATTATTAATTGGATAATAAAATGTGATGTTATATGTGCGCGTGTGTTTTTCACAGTTTTAATTTAAAACAATTTTTTTGGATGAAGGAAGGAAGGGCGTTTATATATGCTAATAATTTTATAAGAACATATCTCCGCACAATATTTGGTATAACTTATAAGAAGGAATAATTGGAATAAAAATAATTTTTCTAATGTTAAGGGTAAGTTGTGAAGGAAAGAAGGAAAAAAAAAATTCTGCAAAAATGACGTATTTACTAAATTTGGCAGATCTTCTCAATTTATCAGTTACAATATAACGCTATACCAAAATTAAATGTGACACACGGAAATTACAAAAATAAAAATTAAATTATAATAAATATTACTCAAAAAACAACATAAATTTTTACCCAATCATTTTAACTTGTTATATTGTTAATCACGTTCGCTCATTCTTTAAATATAATAATCAAACACACGTTTACATCAAAAAAATATTATTAAAGTTAACCAACAAAGTTGTTTGTCATTTTTGGAAATTTATATTTGATAGATAGATTTAGGAGATCAAGATGCTTGCTCGAGAAAAGAGTTCTCTATATCTGGTTTATGTTATTTCAAGAGCAAAACTGATATTAATTATTTATGTTATATTAATAATAGAATTAGATCTTGATCACATATAAATTTTATTTTATTTATTTCATATGGTTGGTGACTATAATAATCCGGCAATTCTACATTTGTAGAGTATAATTATTGATATAAAATTTGAATTTCATATTATTAAATTTTTTTGATGTGAATGAACCAACTAAATAAAAATTACTTGGTGAAACACAGCAAGTAAAAATAGAATTCAAGGAAAATGCAAATTAGTTTATGCATTGTCAAAAGTTACGTGATAATAATAAATGGAAAAATATATACGAATTATAATATATTAATAAAGAGGTAAAAGAAAAATTGAAATCTTTCAAGTTTATTGAATACTTGGATGTATAAGCGTTCATGAACCAATGGTTTAATATATAATTTCCATTTGTTTACACAAATTATAAATAATAATAATTATAATGCATACATTGACCATGCGGTCACTCACTAATTTCCGTTGTAACACGATTTCTTAAATGCTTCAGGTAAATTTTGTTACCCTCAACGAAGATTTTTATTGGTGATATTAATTTTATGGTTCCATTTTATTCAAGTTTCAAATATCATCAATACCAATATTCAAATGATAGAGAAAAAAAACGTTGCAAATGTTCAACTTACAATACTAACTGTTCGTGATGTCAATCATGTGATCCAAATTATAATTAAAGTTCTGAGGTGTGTGTTTTGGATATGAAATTTGATTGGCTAATTTGAATTTCATATATGTGAATCATAAATTTCAGCAACAATGACAACGAAATGAATGACCAATGAAGCTACAACAAGTTCTGCAAAAAAAAAAAAAAAGGATAAATATACTATTGGTTTAAGTAAAATTCATGAACAAAAGTTGATTCATAATATATAGTGGTAATGTTCTTTTTAAAAAAAATTTGTTAAAGGGATTTGTCGTCGTGCATATAATATACATATATTACACACAAATTTAGGAATTTTGGGGTTTGATGTCAGTTGTAGACAACCTTTCAGTAATATGACCTACTTTTTCAAATAGCACGCCCATAGAATTGGCATATGAATGTATGAATGCTGTTATCCCTAACAAATGCCGAAGAAATTAGTAATTTAATTGTTCTCGGAACAGATTGATTAATCAAGAAAGTTTTTGAACCACAACTATTCATCCAATTACTGTGTTTATAGTAGCAGATTATTACGACGTCCAAACATCTCACAACCTGTAAATTCAAACAAATGCACAATTATCGACAATTAATTAATTATATTTTTTTAATCTTAAATTATTTTGTTCGTCTACAACTGTGATTGGCACGCTAGAACCAATGACAATTTTACTATTCTCCTTTCCTTTTCTATAGTATTTCAAAGAAGATAATAGCATTCAATTGTAATTCACCTTGCGACTACCTAATTAATGTTTTATTATTTATTATAACAATACGTTTTTTAAGAAAGGAAATCAACATTTAGGAAATTAACATTTGGGAAAAAGGAAATAATAATATTTATTCAAAATGCCTTTATGATGGAGTCAATTGCTCATTTATGAGCAATTTCCGACGTTGTGTGAAAATGACTCATCTCTAAAATTCTGCCGAAGAATAATTCTGTTTTTGGAGATGGTATTGTTCATAAAAAAAATTTTTTTTTATAAGGAAATTAAAATAGCAATTATTTTCGTGTTACTTTTAATTAAATATATAAATATTTTTATGAAAATTTGAACAATGCACTCATCATATCCATATAAATTGAAATGTACAAACGAAAAATGCCATATAATGATGCCTGGGAATGAAGATGAAGCAGTTAAAAAATGAATAAGGTACAGTTCACACTCTCTCTATATAATGGATCTTTCAATATATAATAATAACGGACTGAGAATTTAACCCCAATTATATATCCGTATTAATATATAAATTATTATTGTCTATAACTGGTTCTCTCTACACAACACTCTCTATAATGGACTGAAAATTTAAGCCCAATTTATATATACATATATAAATTATTATTATTATTATTACTATTGTATATAACGGACATTTTTTCCTAAACCAAATAGTTCATTATAGAGGGTGAACTGTAAATAGGAAAAAAATTAACATAATAAGTATTTTCTAGATACAATTTTTAATTTTTAAAACGAATTACTTTGAACTGGGTTGGGCTCTTCGTGAAAAACAAAATTTTAGAAAGCATGGTGGAAGTAAACGCAAGTAAAGGAGTAGAAGCAGGTGAGTTGGATGTAAATGAGTTATCAAAATAAAAATTGTATTTTTTGATGAAAATGTACATAACGGTCTATTTTATTGAATTGTTTGTTTTACAAAATGCAAGTGGAATCATGCAATAGAACATAGAACGTAAAGCGAACTTGGTGTAAAATGTTACAGATGCGCCCGCCGATCACTAATTAAAAATTCACTCCAATGTTTTTTCTTCTTCATAGGTAATCTTTTATTTTTTTTAGATAAGCTTCAAGTGTCCAAGTATCATTTTTTACCTTGTTCTCTTTTTAAAATACTAATTGTGTCATAATTCTTGGGTTCCATGATAGACTCAATGTAAATTAATTTCATATAAATATTTTTATAGCGGTAACATTAATTGGCATTTATAGACATACTTGACCATAAAAAATATTTTTGATATTTTGATATTGCAGAAAATTTGGTGAACGTATTTTCACATGATATGATCAAATAACTCATCAATTTCTCGTTAGAAGTAAGATTTTGAAATTAACAATCAGTAATCGATCATATCAAATAGAATAATAATAAGCAAATGTGACTAATTTAAAAAAAAAATCTATTTAAAAATGAATAAATAAATATTATGAATAATTCATATTTCTTTTTTTGAGCCTTACTATTATATGCATGCATTGTTGATGTAAACTAATAATTAATTAGTATTAGATTTAAATAGATAGACGGAAGTAATCGTGATCATTCTCGTTTTCCTTTTTTGTTATTACTAATAATTACCCAAATTCTTATCATCATCATTGCTTTTATAACATTGTTAACAAAGTCGTTAGGAATTTTACTCGATAAGTGAAGAAATAAGGAAGGAAAGAGCAACTTTGCATCATTAATTAGTATCAGATGATTGTAAAATATTTTATAATATAACAAAGGTATAGAACACATTAATTCGCCCTCTTGGCTCAATGGAAGAGCATTGCCCTCCTAAGGCAAAGGTTGCGGGTTCAAGTCCCGCAGGGGGTACATATAATAAATAAATTTACATATTATTATGAAAAAAAATTTACTTTGTCCGTTGTATATTATATATTATTTAATATTTAAAGAGAAGACGGATATTTGGGCATTTATTATCATTAAGAATTCATGATTATTTTTTATTTATTATTATTATTTATTCATTTAATTTACATTTTATATGAAAAAAAAATAATGAGAAAAAATATATGTTTGCTCTCGGTCGGGGAATTGAACCCCGGTCTCCCGCGGGCTGCATTCAAGTAGAATTGACAGGCGGGGATACTAACCACTATACTAACCGAGATTTTTTAATGAAATGTTTTTAAAATTAAATTATTTATAATAAATAATTCACAAAGGGAAAAAAAAATTTTTTTTTTTAATTGACGGAAAATTTTATTCAAAAAAAAAAAATATTAAAAAAATTAAATAAATAAATATAGCAAATAAATAAAACATATTCTTGATATTTTAGTATTAATGATATTTTTTTTAATAAATATTTGACACAGAAAAGTGAGTTGAGGAAGAAAATTAATATTTTTTAATAATTATTGATTACTATGTTTTACAACTCCATCAATCACCATTGTATCAACACCATATCTTTCTTGTATTTTTATATTACGAGGTTCATTATTTGAAGATCCAAAGGTTGTTAAAATTAACCCAGATTGTTTAATATTCGTTATTAATGAAGGTACACGAAGCTACATTCATCACAATTATCAAAAAAGAATCATTGTTATAAATGAGGAAAAAAAAATAAATTCTTGAAAATCAATCATCGATCGTAATTAGTAAAATGTATAAAATCACACAACATACCAATAATGTAGCTTCAAAAATGACACCTAATAAATTATTACTTTTAGCAAATTTTACTGCCTCTTTAATCGATGTGCAACGTTTATCCTGCTCAATATTTAATTCATGAATTTGACGAATTGGAATAATTTTGTTTTCTTCCTCAGCATTATTATTTTTCTGACGATCCAATGATTCGCTTTCATATCCACAATAAGATTTGAAAAATACCGCATCTTGAAGACAACAACAATAATATTTTTCAATTATAAAACAATGTAATTGGATAAATTAAATAATAAATAAAATATTTTTGAATATTTACAATTTGGTTGTTTCCAATTTAAAGCAGTGCAGATTGCAGGATTTAATGAAGAAAATATCACTGATCTGTGATTTATCGAATCTTTGCTTATGTTTTTTTTTGCATAATCGTAAACTGTTTGTAAAATAGTGTCGACATAACTATTTATATCGGGTAGATCTGAAAACCAATAACGTGTCATTTCGTAGATTGTTGGATATCTTATTTCCAAATTTACACCAATTGATGATGGCAATTTCTAATAAATTAGATCAAGAATGAATAGAAAATGAATTTTCAAGTTTGCAAAAAAAAAAAAAACCCAAAATCAAAATCGATTAAAACAAATACCTCTAAAACAACTTCTAAAGAAAGAAAAGATTGGTGAACTAATCTTTGTAGTTCGGATGTACTTTTTGCCGAATAAAAATCATCCTCAATATTTTTTTCCTTCAATCCTTCAAATTGTTGAAAGGTAACATTAAATACGCTTAAATCAAATTTTGTAATTGGTAATACCCAATCTGAATATACAACAGCAACCATATCTCTGGTCACCTGAACCACTACTTGAATATATTCACCAGACAATGAAGATGCCGTGATGAATGATGGTATTGTATTGTTACTGCTAATATTACTTTCAATCCTATCATTACTATCATTATTGTTATTATTACCACTGCTAATATTATTATCATTACTATCGTTATTACTACCAATCTTACCACCACCACTTATACTCCTAATGCTGATCCTATTATTAAAGGCGCTGTTCGAAGGTTGATCTGATGGTATAGAAACATTTATAGTATTTGTCGACTTCCAATATGTTTCTACATGCCCGCCGATTTCAAGTTGTACACCACTGAATGGTTTGACGACAGCAAATTCAAACGACAACTCGCCGACCACCTTCAAATGCGTGTCAAACAAAGGACAAATACATTTACCACCGGTCCCACCATTCACCAGATGATTGTGTCTTTCATAACCATAGCCCGTAAAATCAAACATGTCAGGCAATGCAACACCTTTACCAATAACTTTGGAACCAAAGGTGGGAAATATATCAAAATCTAACGAAAAATTTTCCAAAGAGTCGACTTGAAACAAAAACATTTCGCGTTCGTCACCCAATGGTAATATCACACTATGTGGAAGTCTACCTAAATCTGGTTTAGATGAAATGATTAGTTTCAGAGAGGATAATTGACTGTTGCCGTATAGATGAACTGGCGGTCTTTTATTCTTCAATGAGGTGTGACCTAATGTAACTTGAATGTGAAATGTTTTATCTAGATAGTTATGTCCATAAATCCTTAAAGGAATTATTGGTGGTGGCAATGATAACGAAGGTATTCCATCATCTAACAAATCCATGCTATCCTTATCCTTATTCTTATCATCGCTGTCTTTCATGCCAACAATATCTTTAAATTCTATTGATTCTACATGAGCACCAGCCAAATGCAATTTATTGATACATTCAATGTGGCCTTCCCAAGCAGCATAATAGATAGGTGAACGATGAAACTCGTCAAATATATTAACTTCACATCCAGCTTTAATCAGAACATCAACACATTCTATATGACCTTCACTAGCAGCATAAAATATAGGCGACCAACTATTATAGTTATCAAGGATGTCTAAAAGAGCTTTATGTTTAGTCAAGATGCTTAATAGTTCATGATGACCTTCACGGGATGCCAAATGTAAAGGAGTCAAACCGTCAACATCGGAAACAATTTTTGCGCCTTTGTTTAACAACAACATTGTAATATCCTTGTGACCACGTTGACATGCCAATGATAAAGGAATATGACTATAATCAGTTTCAATGTCAGAATCGATCTTGGCACCCTTGACCAGTAATATTTCTACGCATTCACTGTGCCCATTAGTTATAGCATAAATCAACGGACTGAATCCATCGTGATCAAGGCTTTCTAAATCAGCTCCTTTTGACAAAAGATAGGTAGCAGCCTCATGATGTCCATACATGCAGACATAATGTAATGGTTTTCTACCAAAAAAATCAATAGAGTTAATGTTAACCCCGTGAACCACGCACAATCTCATAAGAGATAATCTGCCAACTATCGATGATTCATGCAGGCAGCTACGATCATTAATATCATCTATGTATGTGAAGTTGACTAGTCCAGTATCAACCAAATATTGTACAGCTTCCACATTTGAGCATTTTTCAGAGCAAGATCGCCAAAACACACGAGATAAAATCTCGCGATTTTCTTCGATATTGGAAGGTTGTTTAATTCTTTCCAATAACTCTTTAACGGTTGAGATTGATCCAATGGTTATAGCTTTGAATAGTTCTGTTTCAATATCATCATTCATCACATCGTCGGATTCTCTTGAAAAAAAGTCACCGCTACCAATAAATGCATTTCCACTTTGTGTAATTGATGTAAATTTAGCAGTCTCGTCAGAATTTTTGCTGACATTATTATTGATTTCACCAACGCTACTGCTGCTGCTATTAATATAATTGCTACTGCTGGTGGCACTGCTACTAATACTGGTACTAGTACTATTAATATTATCATAATTACTGTTATTATTATTATCAAAGAATTTTTGAATTTCAGATAAAGAGGTATCGACACTATCAGCCAAATTTGTTATAAAGTCTCGATTGAAACAGGGTTGAACCTCTACTTGACGTTCAAGATAGAGTTCTTTTGTGCTAGATTTAGATCTTTTATCCCATTTTTTTAAAATTTTCCTAAATCCTGTAGCATTTATCTCTATGAATTGCTAGGGGAAAAAAAACCAAAAAATTAAGGTGAATGAACTAATGAAAATTCTGCTAACAACAATATATATATGTATAGCAATTTTAATTAGTTACATGTAATTTATTCAAATCTTGACGAAATTGTTGATAGGCTTCGGTTAATATAAATATTGAAGATGAACTGACAAATGATCGTTTTTCTTTATTTAATAGAATTCTTTTTTTATCATTCAAGGTTCTTAGCCTAACTTTGAATTCATTTTCTTTTTGTAAATAAAAAGTATTCACCTAATAAAATAATTGTTAAATATATATAGAAATTTTTTTAATTGGAGTTTGATAATGATTATGTAGTTTCTTTAATGATAATTAATTATTATAATAAAATATACTCACAATCTCAAGTTCACGTTCAAGCTTAAAAAAGAAAGCTGCCTTTTGTTGTTGTAAAAATTTTGGGTAATCATCAGATATAGATAGGGTAGAATTATCAACAGATGATAATGTTAAAAAGGATGATGATGATGATGATGATGGATCATTGGAATTATTATTTCTTGGGATTGTTCTCTCGTTGTTTTGAGAGGTTTTTTGAAAACTATTAATGATTTTTTTTAAAGCTTTATAATTAACATAATGAGCAGACCATTCTCTTGTTTGTTGATGAAGAAGTTGTTTTCCAAACTAATAATAAAATTAATTTTAGATAAATACTGCGGAAAATGTCATTATAAAACTGCGATTTTTAACATGGATCATCAAAATATTTTTAAATATTCATTCATCAATTCATTCACATATTGATTAATCATTACCTTCATAATTTTAAAAATAATTATAACTAATTATAATTTTTTTGAAAAAATAAAAGAATGAAAAATTTAAAATTGGGGAGGAGTATTTTTAAAAATTTTTCTGATGCACGTACAACCTACAACCTTAACATTAATCTATCTATTCTATATATCAAAATGTAAAGTCATGTGGTACCACTAAAAATGAATTTTTAATTATATGTAACACAAAAGGAATCACATGAAAAAGGGAGAAAAAAATGTTATAATTTTATTTTTATTTTTATTATTTTTTATTTTCAAAATGGATAAAATCACAAATGAAAAAAAATCAAAAGGTAATAATAAAAACATGTGTTATAAAGAAATAATAAAATTTATTAATTAAATATTAATGAAAAACAGTTGTTGGTGAAATGGTATATAATCCCAAACTACAAAGATGGGAAGGAAATGAATCAGTTTTAAAGGATTTTGATTCACCTAGCAAATCGTCATTTTTGTCAAATGTTGACAATTTAAAAACATCACATAATGGAAAAATAATAGTTTGTCCAAATAAAAGACGCAGCAGCAATTCAGTATTTTCATCTGAAGACGAAGAAGATCTTCTTGCAAGGTTTGATTCAGACTTTGATGACGAGGATGATGATATGAAGGAAAAAGTTGATAAATGTTTAAATAAAGAGAACAAAGATGAATCTAAACAAAAAGATCTATGGGTGGAGTCGCAATCAAATAAAGCAATTAGTGATGATGGCAATTCATTAAGTGATTATAAAGGAAAATTATTCAATAAAATCAAAAGAAATTCAATATCAGGTGGAAGTCATTATGAAATTGGAACAGAATTTGATGTTGCACCTGGATTTTTGTCAACCTTGTTGGCTTCTGAAAGACAGCATCGCAATGAAATAACAAAATGGTATCCTGCTGCTGGGACTTTAAAAAATGAGCAAAGATTCGGTCTTCGTTCTCCAACTATAGAACACGGGTTTCTATACGAGATAAGAAACATTAAGAAGGTATTATTTTTGAAAAAATATTTGTTTAATTATTAAAATGCCAACGGTTTTGTTTTAATTTGCTAAAATCTTGTTTTCAATACACTTATTTAACAATAGAAGAGTTCAACAGGTAGTAACAATAATTCTAATAGAAATATTGAAATATGTAAAAACACAAATCATAAAAAATCTGGCAATATTTCAACATTACCGGATCGAAAACCTTTCAAGTGATAATCTTGCACACATTATATATATTGTATATTTTTCATTTATTAATTATTTAATTAAATCATATTAATTGTATCATTGTTATTATTTATTATTTATTATTTATATATATATAATTGATTTTTAAAACGGGGATGTTATCTTTTTCACATGGACATTGCCTTGTCATTGACAAGGTTCCGAATATGTGATGCTTTTCTAGTTGGAATTCTAGTACTGGGTATATTTCAAATCAAAACTAGAAAATAATTATTCAATATATCCCGGGTTACATGTATATGTTTGATTCACAAAAAAAAAAAAAAAATAAGAATCTGTTTTACAAATTATTATCTGCTCGTTGTCATTGTGTCATCATCCATCTTTATATTCTCTTACATTTTTGATAATATTTTTAAAAGAGGAAATTTAATGATATTTTTTTTCGACAATTAATGTCGTAATTCCAAACCATGTACAAATGTATCAATATTTATTCGATTGATAATCTGGTTGCTAATTATTTTGTCCATTTTATCTATTATTTATAATTCATTTTTGTACAAAGCTGATTGTATACAATGATATTAATTTGAAATATTGATAATACAATACCCCAAACTTTGGCTTGAAAATATTGGATTTGAATTTGAATTTAATAAATACTCTATGAAATTAATGTGAATTTGCATCGCCCCAAAAACGGGAATATACAATCGCAATTCACATGTGAAATTCAAATTAGCCAATCATAATTTCATATCCAAAACACCCCACCCCAAAATTTTAATTATACCACTCAACCTGATCATAAATTAAACCCAATAATTGTTGCGAGAAGTCTAAGGAACCAATAAAATTTTCAAATTTAAATAATTAACAATTTCATTACCATCGCTGTTAAAAATAGTTACAATATGTATTGGAGATGGAAAGAAATCGAAAAATCACCCGCGATTCAAAAAAAGGCTCAATTAAAGATAAGCAGCGTAACATTAATGTTTCTATTATTGATTCAAACGAAGACGAATACCCACAAAGAATATGGAACATTCCAAGCATGTGATAAATATTATTACTAATTTTGCAGGTATTTAATTAAGTATATACACAAGAATATAATAATCATCAATATCTTCAATGGATTACGTATAATAATTTAAAAGATATTATTAATATTGAAATAGTGCATAAAAAGATTACACAAACATATTTCTGATAAATTTATTGAAAGCGAGACAGGTTAACGCAATATTTGATGTAACATTCGTAAATGAAAAGATATGTATGAAATATTGCATATGCAGCACTTTTGGTTTTGAGGTGTTGATGTCAGTTGTATCAATAAGTCAATAACCATCCATTAATATTCCACATAACATAGTTCTTGCAATGAAGATTGGATCCAAATTTCTAATTTCTATGGTATCCCATAAACGCCAAACGGCCAAGAAATTATATATTATTATTATTATATGATATTGAATTAGTAGACTATTTATTACAATTCAAAATCTTCCTCGATCTATGAATTCAAATATTAATTTTTTTAAGATTTGTTATCAATATTAATTTTAATATAATATAATTAATATTCCATACAAATGGTGTTTGAAAATAATACGTGGCACTTGTCACAGTGGACTAAAAAAGTTCACGAATTAGATCACGTTTTAGAAATTTTATTGGTTAAAAAAATATATAAAAAAATAAATTTATATTTAGTGCCAGAGCTTGCTTTAGTAAATAAATACACACACCATTTGGGCCAAATTTACCTAAAGATGCTGGTTTTGATGTCTTGCCTTTCATGTGTGGTGGAACTCGCTTTGACTTTTCCATATAATTGATTATCATTCCACATTAAATTTGATTTTTGTATTTTTTGATCTCTTGCTCCATCACTTCCCTTCCTCCCACTCATTATTACTAAGATCATCCAATTCGTCCAATTCTTTCTCTTTCTCTTTTTGCTCTTCTTCTTATCATCATCATCATCATCCAATTCTTTCTCACTCCATCTTCGTCATCAATTTATTATTAGTATGATATATTTTTTTTAATAAATGCTTACTTATCTTCTGCATCTATCTGTTTATCTCCATGTTGTCTTTTTCTTTTAGAAAGAAGTGACATTTTTTGATTAATGAAAGAATATATTTAAAGATTTAATATTAATTACAACTTGTTAATTTATTTACGCGATTTTAATGCTACGTGATAGATTTTTTGCTTCCACTCCCTCAAATAATTATGCAATAATAATAAAAAGATTTAATCCTTGGAATTGTAAGAGGTCTCATTATTTTGTTTCGTATGAGTAGAAGTCACATGAAGATTTTTGATGAGTATATTAGTATGCAAGTATAATAGTAATAATTACAGGTGACACGCACCAAAGTACAACAATAAATGAATGAATCACTCACGCACGCATTTTTTCTTTCCTCTTCCTCATTCACTCGTTCACTTTCCTCTTTTCCAATCTTTTAAATAAATTTATACATATATACATATTTATACACATGCATATGTATGAATATTATTTATAAAAACGAACATTTATCCTAAACAAGTAATAATCACTACACTTTTTTTTTTAAAAGAAAATTTCTGGTAAATATTACATATATATATTTTTTGTAAAGAATTGATCTTGGAAAAAAAATTTACATTATATTATTGTCATTGTTTTAATCATTGATATTATTTTTAATTTAATTTAATTTGATTTGATTATTTTTCCTACACTTTTTTTTTTTTGTTAAAAGGAATTTTTTATAAAAAATAGAAAAAAAAAATTTTTATTCTATCATTCAAATTTTGATTATGAGTTTAAGGTTAAATTCACAATCTATCGCTCCTACTACCAATAGTAATAATAATAACAATAATAACAATAATAATGCTACAAGTAATAGTAGTGGTAGTAATACCAATAGACAGGTAGCTGAACAACCTCAACAGATTTCAAAATCACCAACAGGAGACCAATTCACCTTTACTTGGACAATAAAAAATTATCATGAAGTAGCAGATCTTTACCCAACTGGTAGATGGTTTTACAGTGACAGTTTCATTGAACCAGGTCTATCGACACAAAAAAAATCTCTATTAATAAATAATGATAAAAGTACAGATTATTTGTGGCGTATGTGCATGTATCCAAATGGTGTATCACATCCTGATAAAAATTATATAGGTTTATTTCTAAAGGCTATTCCTACCGATCATGAAAGAGAAAATAATTCATCCGGCAGAGAAAGAACTTATGCATTCGAAGTATACAGATTAGAAACATCGTCATCATCAACAACAGCATCATCGACAACAATTACAACGTCAACGTTGTCATCTTCAAGTACAACAACCTCAACTCCCGTACTGCTCAAAAATGAAAAATTTTCAAAAACAAGGTTTGGTTTTGGATCTGATCAAGTTTTTGGTAGAAGGCAATTCTTAAAATTATCCGAGATTTATCCAGATCCAATAAATAAATTTGATTTGATAGTCAGAGTCAGGATAACGAACGAAGAGAGCATTGCAATGTTGTTGGCTTTACAAGAAATACCCTATGGTGAATTTCCTTTGGCTTCACAAATACCAAAATATTTTGATGACGATCGATTTTGTGATGTTGAGTTCTCCTTCTCATGTGGTCTGACCATCAAAGCACACAAAATAATTTTAGCTTCACAGTCTAAATATTTTGAAAATATGTTAAGCGGACAATGGATAGAAGGTCGTAATAAAGTCATTCCAATCAAAGAGATAGACTATGAGATTTTCAAATGTGTAATGTATTATTTGTATACTGGTAAACTGGAGGAGAACCTTCAGTTGGAACAATTGAAAGAAGCTTACATGAAGGCTGACATGTTGGGATTAGAAAACTTGACAAAAATCATTGCAAACAGAATTGCCGAGGATGTAAATCATGATAACTGGGATGAGATATTGTTGTTAGGATGGAAGATGGGCGATACGTGTCTTAAGAGTGCCAGCATGGGGTTTGTTACAAACAGGTGGGATGAATTAAAAAGCACTGTGAATATGCAAAGAGTTATCGCGTGTAACAACGTTGATTGGATTGAAGAGCTAATTGCTGAAAAAATATTTGGTGTTCATGAATATGGTCGTAATAAATAAAAGAAAAGAATTGGGAGGTAAATGTGGTGGATATTTTATATATATATTATAAAAATGGTTAAATTATGTGATAATTATGACAAGGATTAAGAAATATATACATTATTCATTTAAATTGATTGATTAGATTTTTTTTTTGCAAATTTAATAATAATAACAAACAACACTACACATATAAGTAAGAATCACAAAAAGTAATTGTAATTAATGTGATAATTTTTCTTTTCTTTTTCTTTTTTTTTTTTAGATGTAATTATTTTCCTTTTTTTCTTTTTCATACTAATAATTATTATTGTTATTTGTACTTTTTATTATTCTCTGATTATATAGATGTTACACACAAAACAAAACATGCGCATAAATAAATAATATAATACTATTAATATTAATTGCTAGAATATATACTACCTATTATCTCTCTCTCTTTCTTTATATTTACGATAGTAATAATAATATTTGGGGTGGATCTCGTGGCACCTTTAAAGATAGTTATTGGATCAAATGATCGTACGCACGATTGGTTATTAAATGATGAATATTAATTATATTAATTGATGCAATACTATTATTTTTGAATTATAATATTTAACTCTTTGTTCTTATTTTGTTGCGAGAATCCAATGATCTAACAATTGAGTCATCTCGAAAAATCAAAAGAATCAAAAAATAAGTCACAGTAGACGGGCGAATCAATTGATGCTTGGTGGATGTGCTACTGTCGGATATTTTGGTTTTTGTGAACTCACTAACGGAAAACAAGTTTACAAATGAGAATGCGCCCACTTAAATGATTCTCAAGTTCTTGAACCTATCATCAAACATATATTTTACATAATATTTTTATTGTTTCATTTCCTTTAAGCCTTTTTTTCGGTTTAAGAAACTTAACCTTCTATACTTATCAATGACATGCACATCTACCTTTTATTATGTAATTAAAATCAAAAGATAATGCATCTATAGAATTCTAGGAAGGCCCTCTACTCATTGTCACGTAGATCTGTCATGTGGCAAGCATATTTTCACAGTTGAATGCGGCGGTAGTGTAAGGTCTTGTGTCTTGTGAACAGTGATTGCAAACGCATTCTGAATCGGATACTGGTTTCTGGATGCTGATATTCCATTGATACTGAAATGTGTCATGTCTTTTTGAACATCTAGTTTAGAAACATGGAATTTCACATGCGTAGTCTTCCTCCTCAAAACCAAGGCTATGTATGTCTGTGATTAATATATTTGGGTGGCTGATACATGAGGTCGTGGCTGTGTCCCGAAGAAAAATAAAAATAAAAAAGTAAAACAGGTTTCATAGATCACAAATTTTTAATTATATAATGAATGAACCACTCTTTCTTCCTCTGCAATTCTACAAATTATAAAAAAAATATTTGCCGTACAACCCTAATTTGCCAGAATAAGAAAAATCGCAGATCCTTGTGAAAATACTTTCAAAGATCTGGTAAGTTTTTTGTGCCATTATTTATATATTATATATATAATAATAAGTAGTGTAGTTGTTACACAACAAATTCATATATATTAATATATATTAATATGAAAAAAATTAAATAAATTTATCTCTCTTAATAAAATTCCTTTGGTCACCACTTTAAAGGTTTAAATCTCTAAAAAAAAGAATTTTCTTTTTTTCTGTCTGGTTTTAATCCCAACCATGTTATTAACTGAACAAATTGCCAATAATACCAATAATATCAACTCTATTTCTACTTTGGATGGTGATGTTGGAGTTACTTTGATGTTTCCAGAAAAAATTACGGGTGATACTAATTCAATTTTAGTAACCGATAACAGTAATATGGATGGAAAGGTTGATTTAATTACAACAACATCAAATGAGCCAAGTGATACAAATTCAACTGGTCATTCAACTGGCCACTCAACTGGTCACTCAACTGGTCATTCTACTCCTGATTTGTATGATACAAACTTTCCTAGTCTTTCATCAACTGCTTCAACTACCACTTCTTCCTCTCCTTTTCCTACAACTATTAATTATAGTAGCATTGTTAATAGTAACACTAACGGTGTTAGTAACGGTGTTAGTAACGGGGTTCAAGTCTATTCTTCCACAAAAAAAAAATCAATCCCTGCTATTACCGCCACCAATGACACCACATCTAGTTCTAATGCCATTGTTATAGAAAAGCTGGAATTAGCAGAATCGCAACATAATAACCCTCAACAACAAAAAAGATCATCATCATCATCATCTGACGATAAAAATAATCAAGCGGCAGAAATTATTAGACGGGTGATGGAGAAAACAAATACAAAAATAAAAGTTGACCCTGCTTCAAAAAGTTCTATCGTGACTTTTTTAATTGAGGGAAAAGATAAAGATGTTGCTAATGCAAAACACATTTTAACTGATAAACTTGGTCTTAAAGTAATATATGATTTTTTTTCTGTGTGCGCGTGCACATTAGAGTTATATATATATTTGTGAATCAATGGTTTATAATTTAACAATTTACTCAATTAGTTGATTTTTTATATTTAGGATAAAATTACTATTCAAGTGCCTGCATCAGCCCGTTCTCATTTATTAGGACCTCATGGTACAACCATAAAATCAATTACCAATTCAACTGGTGCACGCATCACGTTGCCGCCACGTCCTAACAACACAAAAAAGGAAGTGGAAAAGTCTGAATTGGATTTCGATGAGGATGAGGAAATGATGGATGTGACAATTTTTGGTGAGATGTGTGCTGTTTGTAAAGCAAAAGTTGAAATTCAAGACATTGTAAAATCTATGGTACATTACAATTTATTTATTTATTTATTTATTTATTTATTTATGATTATGCTGGTTTTTTTTTAATTAATTATAAAAAACTTTTTTTACTAATTGGATGATTGGTTATATAGGGTGCAACTAAAAGAACACATTATATTAGACACATTGAAAATAAATTTTACCCATTGATTGCTGGTGCACATAATAAACGTATTAATCAAATTAGTATTGATACTAATACAAAAATTCATGTACCTTTTTACAACTCTGCCAACCCAAACAACACATTAACCGATACAAAAAAAAATTGTATTGCTATTACTGGTGAAAAAAATTCAATTAAGATTGCAAGTGATGTGATTGAGGATCTTTATGAAGATTTGGTAAATTGTTTTAAGCTTTTTTTCATACATTTTTTATATTTTTTTTTGAAATCATCATGCTCATATATATATATATTCAAAAACATATAGAAAATTAATACACATACTCTTAATGTTGACATTCCAAAACGTCAACATAGATATCTAATCGGCCCAAAGGGTGCTAATCTTCAAGAAATACTTGAAACAACAGGTTGTACACTAGAATTACCACCAGCAACTGATCAATCAGTGAAAGTGATAATTTATGGACCACAAAGTCAATTAGCAGGTGCCTTACAAACTGTAATCAAAAAAGCAAACTCTATACATGTTCAACTGCTTGATATTACTGACCTTCATCAGACAGAAAATCTGATGAAACATTCTATTAATGTTTTGAAATATTTATGGAATAGAGGCAAATTGAAGAAAATTGAATCAGAAACTGGTGTACAAATTGTCACTCCAAAGATCGCATCATCATCAGAAACGGAAATGAAAAATTTGGTTATGGAGTTTGTGGGTAAAGTACCTGAAGATGTGGAAAATGCTAGAAAAGAAGTCACCGAAATAATCAAAAATTTGGTGAGTTAAATGAATTTATTAATAATAACAAACAATTTTAAAGAGAAAATATACAAATAAATACACAATCACTCACACATGTACATATAATAGCCTCCTAATTATTTTGATGTGGTAATGATTAATCAACAATTTCATCGGCATGTAATTGGTCGTAAAGGGCAAAATTTACAACGAGTCAAAGATGCTTACGGTGTTGAAATAATAGTTCCTGATGAGAAAGAAGCCAATCCCGAGATATTGATAATTTTTGAGGGTAGAAAAGACGACAAGGAATTTTCCGATAGAAAGAAAAAAGAACTTCATATTATGGAAATAATGGAAAAAGTGAAAAATGAATTGTTAAAAGTGGAACGTGATTCGTCATCAGATTTTTCTGTTAGAACATTAACTGTTCCTGTAAAGCATCATCGGCATATTATTGGACCTAAAGGAAGTACTTTGAATACAATTATTTATAATGGCAGTAGTAATGGTGGTGGTGCATATTCGCCTGTTTCAGTAAAATTTGGTTCGTCTAAATCATCAGGTGTAAGTGATCGATCATCATCATCAAACACACAACAAATTTCAGATAATTCTATTATGGTTAAAGGACCTGCTAAAGAAGTTGAAAGAATTGTCAAAGAAATTAATGAAAAAGGAGAAGATGCTAAACGTATTGAGGTTTGTCATTACACACACACTTGTAAAGAATATTATAACTATATCATCACACCACGTACTTAATATATTTATATAAATTATTATTTTAGAATATGAAATCATTTACAGCAGAATTTACAATTCCAGCAATCTACTCCTCGCATATTATTGGTAAGGGAGGAAGCAAAATAAAATTCATCAGAGACAATTACAATGTTAGGATAGATATAGATGATAAGCATGTTGACAAAAGCAACAACGGTAAGGAAGAAGACGAAATTGTCAACGTCAAAATAGTCGGGATGAAAGTTTACGTTGAAGAGGCTAGGAATCGAATTCTAGACATAATTGACAAATTACATGGAGAAAGTGTTGTTCGTGTGAATATTCCACCGCAGTATCATGCATCATTGATTGGTGCAAAAGGTAAAGGCGTTAGAAATCTAGAAGTGAAACATGGTGTACGTATTAAATTTCCAAAGAATAATAATTCCAAAGATCATTCTACCACCACTACTAGTATTAGTAGTGAAATTGATGAAAGTGGTTGTACTGTAGGTGAAGAAGAGTGCGGAGAATTTATAAAAGGTGGGAGTAGTGGTAATAGTATAGAAGAAGAATGTAAAAGGGAAAGAGAAGATGAAGATTTCGATCCAGATGTACAAAAACCTTACGAAGTATTAATAACTGGTGGTAAAAGAGGAACCAGTGAGGCTAGATCGGAATTATTGGATCTTTTACATTATACAAAAGATCATGATGATGTTCTCAGTTTCACTATTCCGGCCAAATGTCTGCCACATATTGTTGGCAGGAAAGGAAAAAGAATCCAAGAGATCAGGACTGACACATTTACAAAGATCGATATTAGCAATCCAATAACCTTGAATGATGATGATGATAGGCTATATGAGAAAGTTGTCAGAGTAAATGTGCGTGGTAATAAAATGGATAATATCAAGGCACAGAATAAGATTTTGGAGATTGTTAAAGAATTTGAAGAACAAGCAACAATCACTATGAATATTAATCCTAAACATCACAAGTTTTTGATTGGACCTGGCGGTAATCGTATTAAAGAGATTATAGCAAAAGCTGGTGGACCAGAGGATAGGAGTGCCCAGGCTGGGATTGTCAAGTTTCCTCGACTTGACGATAATGGTTGTAATAATGATGAGGTTGTTATTAAAGGAAATAAAGAACTCACGAAAAAAATTAAAGAAGAATTTGAAATTTTAATCAAAGAACAAGTATGCATTCATTAATTGATGTTGTTATAAATTCCAATATCTATTTAGTTAATACAAAAAATTTTTTTGTGTAGGATAATTTAATAGTTGATACTATTAAGGTTCCCAGGGATCAACATTCAGTTATTATAGGCAGGAATGGATCCCAACTCCGTAATATTCAAAATAAATTTAATGTCGAGCTTTATTTTCCTGGTTCACATTTATATAATCAAATAATAGTGACACAGAAAAAAGAAAAAGAAAAGCATCAGGATGAATTGTTGTTGATAGATAGTAATGATTTAGTAAAAATAATTGGAAAAGTTGAAAACATTAAATTTGCCAAAGAAGAAATATTATCAAAACTTCAATATGAAGATGTGTTTAAATTTCCATGTAAATTCTATAGTATAATCAATAATAATGGATTGACATCAAGGAAATTAAGAAACGAGTACCATGTAATAATTGAACATCAAGCAGATGAGAGGAAACAGATTTCAACAATCATCAATAGAAAACCAATTTTCAAAAAATCTACTAAATGTATCATTGATGAATTCAATGTGAATAAATTTGGTTTTAAAATTATTGACAATGATGGCGGTGAGGAGGTGGTGGTGGAGGATATGATGGTGGAGGATATGATGGTGGTGGAGGATATGATGGTGGTGGAGGATATGATGGTGGTGGAGGATATGATGGTGGTGGAGGATATGATGGTGGAAGAGGTGATGGTGGAAGAGGTGATGGTGGAAGAGGTGATGGTGGAAGAGGTGATGGTGGAAGAGGTGATGGTGGAAGAGATGGAATCAGGAATTGGAAATAGAATCGAAAATGAGAGAGAATATTTTTTGAATGAAATTTCTTGGACGCTCAAAGGTGTAAAAGGACAAGTTAATCAAGCTGTAAAATATTTAAATGAATTATTAGAACAAGCGGTAATTACGGAGTAACAATTCTTTATCTTTATCTGATTTTCAATTAATTAATTCCTACTTCCTTAACTCTTTCTTTCTTTGTAAATGTAATTAATTATATGTTAGATTAATACATGTACCGGATATCTATCAATTCCTCAAACATATCATCGACATATTATTGGGCGTGGAGGATTAACTATTTCACATATTAGAACAGAGAGTCAATGTAAGATTGACGTGCCTAAAGTTAACGGTGATGATACAATTGTAATCATTGGTAGCAAAGAGAATATTGTAGTGGCTAAAAATATGATATTTGAAATATTGATTAACTTGAGAAAAGAACAGAATAGTAGAAGATATTAATATTTTTCTTTATTATTTTGGTTGTAAATTATTTATCTTTTTATTTATAGAAATATTTATTTATTCGTATATCGAACAATCGAAGGTTCTAAATTCTGTAAACATAACTGTTTATCTAAGCATTAATTTGTTTTTTGCACACACTAATACTACAATGCATCTCATATATGGGGCATACTACAACAAAACAAGACAAAGTGAACATTGGTATTACCAAGAATTTCAAGGATCAATATTGTTTTTAAAATCACAATTGTGTTACAATATTAAAAAGTTCATTTTTTTGAATAATAAGTTAAATAAGTAATAATAAAAATCTTAAGCGATAAATAATGACAATGATAAGCAGTAACAGGATAAATAGAATAAACAACACATAATAGACTTACAAATTGTTTTAAGCATTGTTTTTTACTTGAGATAATAATTTCATCAACAAATATTATGTAAAGATTATTTTTGTTAGAGAACTAATGAAAATAATATGTATTTTAATGGTGACTTTTTGTTAAAATATCATCAAACTTTTTCCTTTTTTCTTCCGAAGAATTTCCGATACCGTAAAGTCTGGACCCCTTTTTACATATGTGTAACAATTTTTTTATATTGACGCTCAATTGTTTTAAAGTAGGGGTGCTATCTTTCCAGACTTTATGGTACTATGAATTCTATCATCTAACATCCACAGGATTACTGAAAAAATTTTCTTAAGATACATTGCGCTTGGATTCCATATAATTTAGTAACTTTTGTGAAGCTCAAATAACTGGAAAATTCTTTTTGTGCTGGTAATATAAGTTTAAATGATGCTTTAATAAAAACCAAATGAACGACATAGATACGTATACATATTTTAGACAGACAACATACCTGGAATCGCCCGGAATTCGAATGCTTCACTTTTAAATGTTTTAATATACTTATTTAGTAAATCATCCAAAGTATCTTGGTCGTATATTCACTAAAATTGTTATATTTCATTATTTAAAATTTCATTTGAATATTTTTTTATAGATCTTTCCACAAAAATATTTCTCCTCTTCCTCAGAAAAAATGTGCATTTGTATTTTCCAATTAATAATTTACAAATAAGCGGACCTTTTGTTTCTTAATTATAAATATAACAGATAAAAAAAAATTTATTATAAAAGTGAATTAGACACATTGTACATAACGGGAATATGTCACACGTGGATAAATATCACGCCAGAAGATATATGCTAATTTTAGAAA